TAATAGTAATGGTAATGGTAGTGGTAATAGTTATGGTAATAGTAACAGTACTTGTTTTAGTAATACTGATAGGTAGTGCTAATAACCAGCATCATGCATCACCAAACCCTCACAATCCTAAATCCTAAACCTCCCAACCCTCAACCCTAACTCCTCCTCAACCCCAAACCCTAAATAGTAGTTTCCACTTTCCTTTCCATTATCCCTATATTCTCACCCCTATATAACCCTGATATTAATCTGTCCATCCTATGTCTCAGCCCAAGTAATTACCCTAAGCCCTTAAACCCTATAAGCCATTATAGTAGCTTCCATTTTCTTTTCCATTATCCCTATAGAACCCCAATAGTATGTCTCAGCCCAAGTCTCCTTGTGTGCAGAGCCGCGAGAGCCGCTTCGCTCTCTTTAGCGGCTCTGGGAAAGCCAGTGCTAAAGTGCCACAGGCTTGAGCCCCCAGAAGAAGTAGGGCGCCAAATGAGGGTTTGGGGATTGCGGATTAGGGTTTATAGGGTTCAGGAATTAGGGTTGGGGATTTGGAGTTTAGGGTAAGTAGCGCCCCAAATTATCCCAAGGTCCTATACCGTTGAACCCTAAACGGCCCTAAGCCCTACGCCGCTGACCCGTAAAGCCGGAACCCTATTCTGAATGCCTATATAAGCCCAGCAGTTTCCATGTTCTTTTCCATTGGCCTCTGCATTGTTGCTACCCCTAAAACCCTGTCTAACCTTCTACAACCCCCCCAAAATTTAGGCCCCTAACTCTAAAGTCTGAACATCTCTACACCCCATTTCCTAAACCCACCCAATACAGGGGTTTGGGGTTCAGGGTTTTCGGGGGTTCTACGGATAATTACCAGTTGTATGGTGTTTCATTCCTCGTGTAACTGTGGTATAGGATAGCTTGAATTCCCCAAACCGCTCGAAAGACCTAAACCCCTAAGCCCTAACAGTGTTGCTCCAGCTTTGGGGCAGCAAGCCTGGATGTAGCAGCTGGATGTCGGGTTTGTGGCTTAGGCAATCCTAAACCCCAGGCACGCAGAAGCAATAGCTAGGAAAGGGATGTCACGCGTAAATTCAGGGCTTCCCAAATCAAGGCTCCAGTGCTGCAGCCTAAACTACAAGGCTTCATACGGAAACGGGTTTTCCTTAGGCACTCTATTCTTAAACTGGTTCGCAGCAGGGAATGAGGCAGCATAATCCCGATAAAATATATTCTTTTTCCTTACTAATCCCCAGAAAGTATTTTGAGAATGAACTAAGTTCCTTACATCAGCTGCGAAAAGTAGAGACATCCCTGCAGCAGAAGCTCATGCTCAGGTGCTGCTTCTTCGGTGTCTGACTCTGATAATGCGCACTCTGCTTGATTCAGCACTAACCAGCCAGCCTCAAGAAGGTCCGGGGTCTAGACTTACTCATGGAGCTTGGGATCCCGGAAGCCGAACCCATCTGAGCTATAGTCTAAACTCCTAGCATGCCCCTTAATAACCCCTATAGTAGTCCCCTGTATAATCCCTGTATAATCCCCTTTAAGGAGTTTGGATTATAGCTCATCTGGAGAAATTCCATGTTACATCTCATGACGCTGATCAGAGGCTCATACCCTATCCTTTTGCGTGGGGCGACAGCTTGCACAACTGCATAAGTAGACGCACATACATACACACAAGTGTGTGCAAAAGGCGCGTGTGTGGGATACAGTCGATTTAGCAAAAGTGGCCACAACGGCAGGCAGACTAGAACTACAGTAGAAGAAGCCCCTCGCTGGATCTTTGAGTGCGAGCTTGCGACGAATTGCAGGCGGTTTTTCTGCGCGTGTCCTACTAGGTTTGTCAAAATGGGGTGCTTCCAAAAGCTAGGTCTCTTTTGTGAGCCCATTCATTCTTGATTGAACTATTTGTGGGTGGACCTCTCATTTTGGAAGTTCCCAACGGAGGGTTGTCAAAATGACGATCCCTTTGTAGGTGTCATTGCGAAACGGCCCGGGGCATTCAGTACTGTAGAGGAACTGCAGGGGCCTAAATCAGTGCCCATGACATGTTGAGGTCTATTTAGAGTAATTGGACAAGTAATCTGCGACCACGATATTGGTGACTTTTTTTTGGGTTCTGAAAAATTTTGGCAACCCTCTGGGCGGTTGTCTCCCTAATGCAAAACTACATCCACCGCCTTTCTGGCATTACCATACAGCAATGGGAGAGTATTGAACATGGGGGTCTTGCATAAGCGGATGAAGAGATTAGAGGGGCAACCCAACAAGGGCGTCTTCTTGTGAGACAGCCCCTACTACGCCTCAAAGAGAGACGCGAAGAAGGCTGCCGCATCGTCCATCTCCTGCGTAGTACTTCCATTCTACGAGTAAATCTCGTTGCTCTTGGATCTTGGCTAGTGTGGCAGCAAAGCGTTCGCAAGATCATGAGCTGCATTTGAGCCAGTCTCAACTCCTAGTATCCCCCCTAAAAATCCTATCATAATCGTCCCCTATACAATCCCCTAGATAATCCGCTTCAATGACTTTAGACTATAGCTCGTTTATTGTCAGTGTGGCTGGCTGCTTCCCAGCCGTCTGCGCATCACTACGCCTGTTATTCTTGCATCCATCGCCTGCTGGGTGTTGCCATGTTCGACCACGTACTTCCTTGCAAGCTGGAAGCTAAAGCTTTGGGAGTTGGGATGGGGCCTGGGGCAAGTCAGGATTTGGGTTTGTCAGCTTGAGGGTTATGTCGCGAAATTGCGCAGTGCTCTAGAACTTTTGAACATTACTGGTCCAAATTATAACAACACATCCTCTGATGTCGCCTTTTAGATCCGAGCATCTTAGCCTCCACCGTTGCACCTGCTCGTCGCAATGCATCCACTCCCAGGTCTTGCAGACTTGGATGGAGAACAGTATCCTTGCTTCCATGGCCCCAGAACACCTGCCGGCTGCAAAGAATTCAGGACGCACCTACATAAGGGGGGAGTTCCGCATGAAGAGACAAACAGCCCCTTCAAGTTTTCAGAAACTTCCGCCTTCAAGCCAGCACATTGCGGTGAGGCAGCTAACTTCTCCACATGGTCGCCATAGAAGCACAAGCCACTGAAGACCTGGCTCATCCCCACTCGTCAGGGAAAAAGAAACGAGCACACGTTTGTTAGGCACCGCACCCTGAACAGACTTACAGTCTCTCAGTCTCTCTGCGTTATCAGGACTGTCATAGCTGCTCTTCCTCCTACTAATACTAATACTTCTACTAGTAATCATAAATTCTCTGCTGTTCATTACGCAAGTTGAGAGCCCTCAAGCTGACAAGGTACGATGACGCCGGCCAAGCGCTTGGGATACGTAAGCGTTGAAAGCATTGCCTTTGCAGAATGTAGCGATATTCTTTTGGGGGGCTTCAGGGCGTATAAGGGAAGATCCCTCCGAGGAAATCTAACATGGATCCCTCCAAAAACCTGCATGCATGTGTCCGGGGAAAGCTTAAAAGGTTTCGGAAATTGCGCATGATAAGCTTATGTATGTTTCCATTTAGGGAATGCCAGCAATCACTTCTTCGACGCTGTCCCTACGTAAACGGAATTTGCCATGGGGAATTGCCCTACCCATACACCCACGCAAAAGCTCAATCTATCATCATCAGTGCCCCGAAGAAGCTGTTCCTCTGTGCCAAACCCTTATAGCGAGGGCAGAGAGATCATCATGACCACAACTCTTTACAGAACCCCATGCAGATATACATATACATATATGGACCACCGACCCCTTGAAAAAATGCAAACAAGCATTTTCGCATCATCTGATTCTGGACACGCTCCAGTTTCGAATTGATTTTCTCAAAATTGGTACATAATTAATATCTTGTACTTAGTGAGTAAAGCGAATTGGATCGGATTCTGGTTCATATCAATTCTTTACTGGACTTGTTTAAATCCAATTCCTAGAAGCCTGCAGTCCTGGTTTTCGATTGGATTCTAGTCTATATGGATCCTTTATATTGAAATATAATTACAGTAAATATAGTCTGGAAATGCAGAAAGCCAAAAAACACAGTTGTTTTGGAACTATGGTGACAGATACAACAAATGTTTATGTTTTCCTGGGAAGAAGATATTTTTTTCGAGGAAAACCATCTTTTCCCAAGGAGAAATGGTGATTCGAGCCCAGGCCCTCCAAAAGCCATCTTTTTCCTAAGAAAAAGATGGTTGTTGCACGACATAGCCTGGACGACTCGAGATTTTTAAGAAAAAACCACTTTGGCTTTGGAAAAAGATGGCTTTTCGAGCCTATGCCTTCCAAAAACAAGTTTGTCCGACAAACAAACCATCTTTTCCTACTAGAAAATCCAAAAAAACTTTTTAGTAGCCACCATGGTTCCTAAACAACTTGTTGCTGCTGTTTGTTCGTATTCCCCAGTTTTTGGTGAGTCCAACAGAGAAGTGGCCTCAGCAGATGGTTCCTATACTTAAAGGAGTTCAGGGTTTCCGTATCAAGTCTAATTAGTTTTAATAAGGGATGTATAGACCAGCATCCAATCCAAAACCAGGGATCCAGGATTCCAGGATTTTCGTATCATTTCTAATTAGAAATTATAAGAGATTCATATAGACCAGAATCCATTCCAAAACCAGGAAGGAATCTAGGATTCCGCAATTTCCATATTCAATCTAAATAGTTTCAATAAGGGACGTATATGGAGCAGGACCACATCCAAAATCAGTAGTCCAGGACTCCTGGATTCCCATATGCATATATTCAATGCAGGATTCCCGTAATAATTTCCAATTAAACTTAGCTGGAACTTATGTCGCTTAGAATCAGATGGAAAAGCGTGAACCCAGGATTCCAGGATGCCATGACTCAATGAAGTGTCCGGATATGTGTACATGAATTAAACTGCAATACGATGTCTTACTAAAAAAGGCCTCTTTGTTTGATCATGGGGGGGGAGTGTGAGCATATATATATATATATAGATACTCATACAGCATATATTGACACCTAGGACCTAGGTGTATATGTCTATGACAAAGATGCACATATACAGATATGGACGCATATGCACATGTGCTTACATATATAACTGGTTATATGGACCCTAACCTGTAAACCCTAAACCCTAAAACCTTTCAGTGGAAGACCCTTCCTGGCGGTCCTGTCCTCATAGCCCTGGGTTTGCGAGAGCGTAGCTTCAGCTTCTGGCATCCGGCTGCCCGACCCACCCTATCTAGGCATTGCAGCTTCAGGGTTTTATGATTTTAGGGGTTTAGGGTTTAGAGGTTTAGGGGTTTAGGGCTTAAAGGTTTGGGGGTTCAGGGCTCAAAGGTTTTGGGGCTCATGACAAACAACCTCACTTTCTACTGAATCCTCCAACCCTACGGACGTTGAGTGCCCTACACCGCGGGAACTCTAGTATTTTTGGTATTTTGAGGTCATCCAGGTATTTTTGTATCAACAGCAAGAAGGGATGTATCGTATATAGTTCATGAGAAACATGTATTGTGGTGGAAGAGTTTTTTTTGGGGAGGGGATCTTGGATCTACAGCACTTTAATGAGGGTCTTACAGGAATTGCAAGTATAAAGCTGGCACCGGTCGAGTTATAGTTGCATCAAAAACCTTTCCAAGTGCGCAAGTATGGCTTTCCAGGTATCAAAACCCATGTAGATGATAGTATTGCGGGCTACAGCCCCCCTATTTGGGTACTTGGACCCTGAAGGCTCTACGGTTTGGCGATGTTCTGCTTAAAGCTTGCGGTGCATCCTCTGAATATTACATAGATCGCTTCGTTTTTTCCCGAAAATGCGTCTGCGGCGCGTTCTAGGGGATGTGGCTATGTGCTGATCTTGCATCATTTGAGGAACAGAATACGTCAAGCAGCCGCTTGCAGCTGGATAGAGGGGTTGGGAGGTCTTGGCATTTTACCACATGTTTTCGCATTGTTCTTAATTTCCCTTGCGGACATCATGAGACGGGGGTTTCTCAGAACAAGGATACCCTCAGGCCCGTCGGGTTTATAAACAATCTTGATTCATAGGCGGCTTAAAGATGTTCTTCGGCGATTTTGAGCAACCCCCATTTCTTTTGCTTGCATGATGGAGAATCATGCAAATCAGTTGCTGGAAAGATGTGAGGCCCAGCTCTCAACGGACTTATTCAGCACAAGCTGATTTTGGCTGCAGAGTCCCCTAATTCGGTGTGATGATGAGAACTTTCCGTAGCAAAAGCACCGTTCAACCCAGCGGTTTAGTTTGATTCGTTTAGGGTCTAGGGTTAAAGGTTTAGGGGCATGTGCAAAAAGAGACCACACAAGCCTGTATTCATCTTGAGATCCATGTTTTCTCCGAAGGTTCACGTCGAGTAACCAAAGTTGCGTTCAAACTGCAAAGCGGGAAACGTGGACCCGAATCCAAAGGGTCCGGTCCAAGTATCTTTACGAGCCATAGTTTAAACTCCTTAAAGGGGGGGGGGGGTGATATAGGGGATTACTAAGGGACTACTATAGGGAATATTAAGGGGGATACTGTGATTGGAGTTTAGATTATAGCTCAAATGGGCTCAAACGCGTGCACATGCAGATACATTGGGGCCCCAGTATACATTTCACTATTCAGGTACCTAGACCACAGGGTAAAGCCAACGTCCACCGTGGCTTCCATCTGCCAGCGGTATGTGCGCAGCTGGGGCGGAGGCTACATGAAAGCCCAGACCGCTGTAGCTGAACGTGTTTCAAGTGCGTAGGGGCCGAAAGAGAACATAAACGAGCAGATAGATAGGCATTCCCCACTTAAAGTCATTCATAGCCAAACCGCAAAAAATAGAGAAATAAGGGACATGCCACGAAAACGCTTATGCTTAGGTTCTGTTTCGGTTCCCCAGGATGTGTGCCACACCCAAAACACGAAACCTAAATTGAGCCGTCGGCCTGATTCTTAATCTTGTTATCGGAGATATTGGGCCCAAGCTTTCCAAGACTGAGGGCACTAGGGAATGGAAAAGAAAAGGACAGGATTCATAGGCTTGCGGTCAGGGGTCAGAGAAACTTCTGAAAGAGGTTCATAATGCGGCAAACTGAGGTCATTTCACTGCTTATTATGGATGTTATATAAGCCCTAGACCATGACTCTTTGGGACCCTAGGATAGATAGAGGTTATTGTGGGAAACATATTATACTTGAAGCAAATATGTAGGTTGTGTGTTGGGTTTCTACTAGGGACTCTTTTTGTTGGGGGCTTTGTGATTGGAAATGCACCTAGGATACATAGCCTTCTGTGCAGATGCTTGGGTCTGGTCATGACATGTCCCAGAAGCACCATTATAACTACCCAGAAAGGGCGCGCGATTTTTCTGGCACATATCCAAATTCTCCTACACCGGCCCACGGGTGGTGCCCAACTTCTGTATCAGGAGGAACTACACGTGGTTCAAGCTATTGCCTGGCGTGAACCGCCGCAACTGGCATCGAGACTTGCTGGTCAGAGACCAGAAAAACTCATGCAGTTTGTGCTAGAAGGCCTCTTAGAGGACCACGTGGAAGACCTTGCTCGACAGTGGATCATTATTTACTGTATATACCCATTATGGTAACTTAATTTAAGTTCCTTAAATCCCTATATTCCCCCAGTTTCAATTTCATTTTCCATTTTCTTTTCCATTTGACTCTCCATTATAGGGGGATAATTCCTCAAATTAAGTTCCTTAACAGCAACCCAATTCTGTTGCTTCATGGCAAGGGCCTCGCC